GTGTTGATATTGTGTTTGGGTAGACTACCAGAGCAGGAATGGTTGCACACCAGGATGTGATTCATTTATCCTCTTGTGTCTATTTTCACTGACTTTCTGGCTCCCCAGGGGGCTCTCCGTGAAGAAAGTCCTTGAATAACTGAGCTAGTGTAACCAACTGTGTGTCCGATGACTTGCTCTTGTCCTCCCACAATCCTATCTTCCTGCGTCCTGGGATTTGCACCACTATTCTGGAGCAGTCATCTAGATGTATGTGATATTACCCATAAGCGTTTTATTTTGTCATACATTTCTGTTTTGAGTACTCTTTTGAAGGTTGGGTGCAGCCCAGGATCCTACCAGACATCCTCATGGCCAATCAGGTTTGGGTTCCCATCAGGTTTGGGTTCCCAGTGGCTTTGGTCCCTGTCAGATTTGGTCTGTCATCATGGTTCTGATTTGGAATGCAAAGTTTTCCTAAACCAGCATGGTAGGAGGCATGAGGGGCAGGGCATGCGGAATTGTTGTAGCCAATTGCACACTGTCAAGTAACTTGAACCGTGCAGGAGGTAAGAAGGGCATCACGGGGAACCTCCATTTCAGTGCTATCTGTGCTCCACCTAACACTGAAGCCTACTCTGGCATTTCTTCACTGCATTTAAGCTCAGATTTTAACTACTGCAAGAAAATTTATGTTATTGACACATTCTTTTTTTTTTTTTTTTACAGATTAAAAAAATTGTTTTCTATTGGAAAGGAAAATATATAGAGAGAAGAGACAGAGAGGAAGATCTTCCCTCTGATAATTCACTCCCCAAGTGAGCACTGCATCTGGTACTGCACCAATCCAAAGCCAGGAACCAGGAACTTCTTCTAGGTCTCCCATGCGGGTGCAGGGTCCCAAGGCTTTGGGCCATCCTTGACTGTTTTCCCAGACCACAAGCAGGGAGCTGGATGGGAAGTGGGGCTGCTGGGATTAGAATCAGTGCCAATATGGGATCCCTGAACGTTCATGGTGAGGACTTCTGCTGCTAGTTCACCACGCCAGGCCGTATGGACACATTCTGAACGATCTTAGCAGGTGAGAGTGTGGGATCCTTGTGGATGTCTCCCAAGACTAGTCAGACATTGTCTGTTATATTCCACAAACTGTACCAACTTACCTTTCAGAGAGCAATGTACCTTTACCACCCATTGAGATTTATAATTAAACAAGCAAACATGTTGCCTGGGGTTGCGTTTTGGTACAGAGGGCTTAGGGATCCCCCGTAATGCTAGTGTCTGATACTGAAGTGCCAGTTTTATTCCTTGATCCTGTCCTGATTCCGCTCTCCACTAAGGTGCCTGGGGAAGCCCTGGAGGATGGTCTATGCTGGACCCCTACCATCTGTGCGTGAGACCCAGGTGGAGTTCCAGGTTCCTTCCTTTTGCCCTGGTCCAGGCCTGGACATTGAGAGCATCTGAGGAGTGAAATCTGTCTTTCTCTATTCTCTCCCTCTCTGGCACTCTGCTTTCCAATTAAAATCATGACCTTTTTTTTTTTTTTTTCAGTGCCCTGTAATGGGTGGATATAAATAATCATTTCTTTGAAAAATGAAAGAGACACGTAATCCCATCTATTGGTCCATCCCTTCCCCATCTCCACCCCACGTGCCTGAACACACCCCAAAGCTGGACCTGAAGCTAGGTTTTCCCTCCCTCCCTTCCTCAACCCGCCCCCAGGAGGGGGTGGAGGCCGCTTTTAGGTTTATGGAGATTCAGTATTCTATACACACGTGTGCACACATTGATATGTATATATGTGCATACATATATTTGGGTTCATATATATAATCAGATAAGTATTTTGTGTTTATATTTAATAGACGAATTAAGCCATAAACATTGAGTTTGTTTATGATGTACAAAATAATGTTTGGATATACATACATGCTGTATGATTGCTGAGTTGACCTACTTTACAATATTTTCCTTATATCTTGGAAATATTCAAATATACAATATGCTGCTACTATCGTAGCCACCACATAGATGCCCTGGGTTTTATTTCTGTTGTCTCCTTGGCATTTGGATACTTTCTTGTCATCTTCCTAGTTTGCTTATTCTGCAGCCTCTAGCAGCCGCCAGCTTGCTGTTTCTTCTAGATTTCTCTAAGTCTGAACAGAATTCTGATGTGTAAAAATAATGTATAATATTATATATTTCTCCGAAAGTCAGCAGGTCATCCAGATCTTCCATTTGGGTGATCAAGATCTAAGAAACTGAGCCGCCTCCTCAATGCTATGTTATCAGGAAAGGGGATCAGGAGCAGACAGGTCTTAATCCCGGGCACTCCAATGTGACAGGAACTTTCATATGCGAATTGTAGTATAACACCATCCAGAAAGCACCTCTTTTAAATGAATTACTTATTTTTATAAGTCCCAATTGTGTCACATCAACAAATAAAATTTATAACCATGCATAATGAACAATGTTTTTGTAGTGAGAATGTGCTGATGTTTGTGAAATTCTCTAACTTCCTATATTCTTAAAAAATACAGTTTTTGGCCCGCTGCGCTAGTCTAGTTGCTAACGTCCTCACCTTGAACATGCCAGGATCCCATATGGGCACCAATTCTAATACCAATAGACTACTTCCCATCCAGCTCCCTGCTTGTGCTCTGGGAAAGCAGTGTAGGACTGCCCAAAACCTTGGAAGCCTGCCCCGACATGGGAGATCTGGAGGAAGTTCCTGGCTCTTGGCTTCAGATTGGCTCAGCTCTGGTCGTTGCACCCACTTGGAGAGTGAATCAGCAAACAGAATGTCTCTTCCAGGTCTCCCACATGGGTTCCAAGGCTTTGGGCCATCCTCCACTGCTTTCCCAGGCCACAAGCAGGAAGCAGGTTGGAAAGTGGATCAGCTAGGATTCGAACTGGCACTCATATGGGATCCCAACGTGTTCAAGGAGAGGACTTTAGCAACTAGGCCATGCCATTGGGCCCAAAAAGCTATATTTCTACTTTTGCCATGTAAAATATTATAGCTAATGTTGCATTAAAATGTGCAACAATTTATCTTAATAACTGTACCGATATTTGCAGAAAACTGAACCCTCTATGAAATAACAAAAAGGAACACTTTATAAAATAATATTGCCTCAACTTCAGAATGAAATTCTATTGAATGTAGATTTTTTTTATCAACCATAACACTATTTTCAAGATGAATAGCATTTAGTGTACTTCAATTGAATTTAACTGATTCAACCAGAATCAAAAAAAGCATGTGGCACCACATCAAGATGACTTGGAACCATAAAGAAAAGCAATACAGTCAGGATCATGGTGATTTTCCATTGAAAGTCAGGAGCAATACCAAAATAACTTGGGTGTGTTGTGTATGGGTTGTTTTGGATACACTATGGTACCCCACCAGTGGTACGGGATCATGGGATCCAGGAATAGAGTAAAAAGACAAGATGCCACCACATACGGGTTTGGTCGACGTTAGCCAAAGGATCCCTTTAGGCAGCCAAAATCCCAAAGCCAACCAGAGGTTTAGGACTACACTTCTCAAATTTGGGGTGTACTTTATGTTATACAAAGTGTATATGCATTTCTCCTGCTGGTTATTGCTATTGCATACCAATGATGCATTATATTAGAGGATGGAAGTAGGTTCATTCTTTTACCTGCATTTTTTCCCTAAATCTATGAAATTTCTTTATGGCAATTTACATGTTATATATTAAAACATGCAAAAATATTTTATTGTAAAGGAATCACTAAGGTGCATTGAAAGGCTTCCCTTCTTGATCCGTACCTACTATAAATCCAATTTAATTGGTATGGCTAAACAAATGATCAGATTTGCTTTTGTAAATAACTCCATTGATTTTGGAGTACATGATGGTTTGATATTCTATTACTTTTCAGTTTTAGTTAGTTTTCTTAGGTTTTCTTAAGAAATTTTCTTAAGATTTCTTAAGAAATTTTCTTAAGTTTTCTTAAGATTTCTTTTTTTAATCTTCAAGTAAAGCTACTTGGTGAACTAAAAAACGACATGCGTGTGTTGACATTAGATGATATTCATGATAGTTCTTTGGATGCATTTTCTCAGTCCGTTACTGCAGAGTCATACTTGGGTTCTGTGGTTGAAGCCAGTGCAGATAATATTAGCAGAGGCATGTGAGAAATTTTTTCATGCTTTCACCGAGACAATGAAAATTTTCTAAATTTCTATCAGCTCAATTTCATGAAAGTAACATGGTCTGATAACCATAAAATGAGCAATTTACTAACACACAACTCAAAATTCTTTTAAAAAATATTTATTTATTTTTATTTTAAAGGCAAATGTACAGAGAGAAGGAGAGTCAGGGCAAGATCCTCCATCCTCTGGATCACTCCCCAGGTGGCTATAATGGCTGGAGCTGAGCCAATCTTGAGCCAGGAGTCAAAAGCCAGGACCTGCTTCTGGGACTCCTACATGAGTGCAGAGTCCTAACGCTTTAGGCCATCTTCTTCTGCTTTCCCAGGCTACATATGGGGAGCTAGATGAGAAGAGGAGTAACTGGGATACAAACCGGCACTCATATGGGATTCAGTGCTTGAAAAATGATTATTCAACAAGCTGTTGTGCCGGGCCTGCAACTCACCCTGAATTGGTAACATGTCTCAGTTGTGAAAAAGTTTCCTTGAACAGTTAGCAGCATAGTAATGCCTTCTGCATAAAACAAAACCAGCTGATTTTCTGTAAAGATAGTAAGGTTGAGATCATTATGCATTGCGATTTCTTAACCAAGGAGTAGACAGCTGAAGGCCAAACACTATGCCCTATTTTTGGATAGAACATGGATGAGCTGAAATTTTATTTGATTGTTAATGGCTAAGAGTTAAAAGAGCATGACCAGAAATAATTAAGTACATTGTGTGTTTCTTTTTATGTCAAGAAAATAATGGTAGCAGGGAGCATGGATTATCATGTCTTGTCACCTTGGAATGCTGGCATTCCATGTAAGCATTGGTTCACATGCCAGATGCTTCAATTCCAATTCATTTCCCTGCTGTTGTGCTTGGGAAGGCAATGGAAAATAATTCCAATCACTTGGGCCCCCTGTTACCCACGTGGGAGGTCTGAGCACAATTCCAAGTCCATGGCTTTGGTTTGCAGCAAAGAATGAAAGATCTCTCCCTCACGCTCTTTCGCTCTGTGTAACTCCACCTTTCAAATAAATAAATGAAGCTTAAAAAGAAAAACCTAGTAGACTCAAATTTAATCATTTCAGAGATTTCATTAAATGCAAGTGCCCTCAAATGAAAAGCAGATGTGGTTATAATCATTTCAAAAAGATTATCATAAACTATTTGCAAAGAGTTCTTGAAAGATAAATAAAGTAATCAATTGAAAGGTTAGAAAACATGTCACTATTGATAAAAAATACTGTAGATTTCAGAATAGGCAATATTTTAAAATGAAAAAATGATCAGTCAGGAGCATGTATTTTATAAAGTATATTATATATTATATTTATAAAGCATATTATAAATATAAATGCTTCAACCACTGGTATATTATTCTTAGGTGTACCAAGAAAATGCCACAAGGACAACATTCTCTGCTGTCTCAATAATCTTAAGAAATTTCAAAACCTGCAAGGTAAGTTTACTAAATTACACAAAAATTTAATTTCAGCTCAATGGGTAGAATGTAAAAATTTGTATACCCAACAGAAACCTAAGTAGCCAAAGATTCAAACAAAAATGAAAATAAAGTGCTGCAAACACTTTAGACTAAATGAAAATATACTATATCAGAACTTATGCAATCTCATCAAAAGTAAGCATGCAGGAGAGAAATTACAGCATTTACAAATGGTAACATCAATATTGGAAAAGAAAGATATCAAATCTATGACCTCTAATACCACACTGAGAAACTAAAACAGGAATGGGCATTAACACAGAAGTTAAGATGCAGTGTAGGATGCTTACCTTCCATAGCTGAGTGCCTGGTTCAAGTCCTTGCGGCTATAATTCAGATGTAGCTTCATGCTAATGTAAATTATGGGAGAGCTTGGATTGGCCCAACCCTAGGGTTTCATGTGCATCTGGTGAAAAACCCAGCAGTCAGGATCTCTCTCTCTGTGTCTGCCTGACTACTTTAAAATGAAATGAAAATGTAGGACAGGAGACAGGAGTTAGTGCGAGGTTTCACTATGCTTCTCTAAATTTATTGTGAAACATATGGATGTATTTATTCACTTTATATAAATTAATTAAAAAGTGATGTGAACTGTGAAACAACAATGCGCAAATACTTCCTGCAGCATGAAACTAATTTCGCTTTTGCATAAAATAATTCTCCATGTTGTTTCGCTTTAGAGGGTATTCTCGTACACCAGGAATTGATGGAGGCGCTTTAGTCTTCCTCCAAAACATGGGCTCCCTGTTTTATTCAGATCAATATAATTATCTTTTTGGAATTATACTTATGATACAGAAAACAGATTCATCGCATTTGACGTCGGAAGATGCCCGCATCTGTGAAGTCTGTGCTGTGATGTCATCTCCATCTGTGACGCCCCTGAAAGTGACCACCTGTGTGTGAGCGCTCCCTGAGGTCTTCCGGGACCTTGGCACCCGTTTTCAGCAACAATGTGTTGGTAGAGGGCTGGCTATCTGTATGCTGAGGGCAGGTGTCTGTTTTGAAGCTCAGCAGATGCAGGACTTCCAGCATCAGGTAAACAGGTTTGAAAGATCCCCTACCCGGTTTTAGAACTTAGACAATAACAGGATGCTTGCGGCCTAGCAACTCTGAACAAAGAGAACAGGTTTTAAGAACTAAGAATGTCAAGTACTTTTTGAAATACTTAGAAAAGAGAAGTTCACAAGAGAGGTTTCTATTTCTCAGAAAGTGTTGGAAGCAATATGTTTGAAGCAATAAATATTTTTTAAAGATAAGCCTTGCTTAATTTGACTGCACCAATGAAAACCCTGTAACTATGCATCTGCTTCTGTATCCTGCTTCCTGCTTTTGAAACCCTATAGGAGGTTTTAAGATGGCCGACGTAGGAGGAAGGCTGTGAGGGAGAGCCCAGTGAGAGAGGGATAGAATGCTACAGAAGCAGCAAAGAGGAACAGCAAAGAACTGCAGAGAGAGGTGCGTGAAGTTCCCTGGACAGTGTGGAGCCAAAAACATCCACACAACTCGGAAGAACAACGAGAACAAAACAAAATAAAAGGCTGGGAAGACGGCATCCTGCTCCAGACCTGCTGAGTCACCTTTAACAGCAACCGACAGGAGACGCAGCAGACCCAGAGACAAGGAAACCAGGAGGGATCGTCACCGGCAAAGGTCTTCAACAGCAGCAGAGGCAGACTGCAACAACTGGAGGTTCGGGTGAGCCAGGGAAGGGTTAACAGCCTCTGGAGGCTGCCTTACAGGGGCGGGCACAAAGCCCAAGCCTCTGGGGTGCTCCTTTTACCCTCCCTCCCTACAGAGGTTCCAGGCTCTGAGAACACAGGGCAAGCACCTTGAAACTGCCAAATCTGTGCCTTGGAAGTGGCGCACAGTAGTCCTGGGTGCTGAGAAGGCACAAAGAAAGCGCCCCAAATATTCCCGTGCTGTGTGGGCCAGTGCATCTCAGTGCGCAGAAACGACCAGCGAGGGTCTAGAATCCCCCACACCCTGATACCAAGTGGGTGGGCGACACACCAGGAGGGCTCTGAACACAGCGCTGGGCCAGCTGGGCGGTCCCGCCTGCAGAAACTGCCTCCACAGCGCAGTGGCTACACCAGGAGGGCTCTGAGCACTGGGACGTGCAGCGCTGTGTGATCCTGGCACGCAGGTGCCACTCACATAGAGTGACTTGCCCACTCTTCGTTTCTCACCCCGCAGTTCTGAGCATGGGAAACCCACCAGGAGAGCTCTGAAAACTCCTGCGCCACACAGGCACTGTGCGAACCTGCCGTGAACTCACTTTAACAGGACGCCTGGGTCAGTCCTCCACTGCAGTCCTGTGTGAGGGAGTCACACCAGGAGGGCTCTGAACATCCACACACCACGAGTAGGGCAATCACTGAACAAGAGCCACGCCTAGAAAGTGCCTCACCCACAGTCCCGTGTGTGGGAGACACACCAGGTGGGCTCTGAAAAACCCTGCAGTCCCTGGCACGGAGAATGCAGGGAGAAAGCACATAAAACCTTCTACGCCCTGTGGATTCCCATGCAGGGGGCACACCCAGAGAGCGCCTCCATCCCTCCACGCCCTGGGGTGTCACACCTGAAGAAGAGGTGCCCAGAGTGTGCCTGGAATCCACTGGGCCCCCAAGGTGGTGCCCTACAGTCCCGGGCCCTGAGAACGCAGCAACGGTGCCTTGAAAATTACCACGCCCTGCAACACCACACCTGCAGGCTCCAACCTCTACAGGAAATCACCTGACGACCCCTCAACACACGGGTCCATTGGCCTCACCAAAATACACCAACGCAATGGGAAAAACCACCAGAAATAGTTGTGCTCCAGATGAAAGAGCCAGCACCCCATCAAATAAGGGCCAAAAGCCATTATCAATATCGGAGATGCGAGATGAAGACATGGAAGAGTTACCAGACAAGGAATTTAAAAAAATAGTGCTAAAATTTTTCAGAGACGTGGACATGAAGCTGGAAGACTTCCAGAACTGCATAATCACTGAAATACAACAAATCAAAACCAAACTGGATGCCCAAGATCATAAAATTGAAAGCCTGATAAACAGAATAAATGCGGCAGAGGAAAGGATCTCTGAAACAGAAGACATGCAAAATGAAGGTGCCCAGCTTGTTAAACAGCTGGAGACAAGCCTCAGCAAAACTAATAAAATGATGCAAGAAATGAAGGATTACCTTAGAAAATTGAATATTCGGATCATTGGCCTCCCTGAAGGAGTAGAAAGAGAATCAGGAATGCAAGCAGTGCTTGACGAAATTATACAGGAAAACTTCCAAAACACTTGGAACACGAAACCACTCCGCATACAGAATGGATAGAGAACTCCCAACAGACATGATCCAAAGAGATCTTCACCCAGACACACGGTGCTCAAGTTCTACTCCAACGAAGACAAAGAAGGAAGGAATCCTGAGAAAAGTACGAAGAAGAGAAAAGATCACATACAGGGGAAAACCCATCAGAATCACGGCTGACTTCTCCAAAGAGACCCTACAAGCAAGGAGAGAATGGATAAAGATCTTCCAAGCCCTGAAACAAAACAACTGTCAACCAAGAATAATCTACCCAGCAAATATCTCATTTGTATATGAGAACGAAATAAGATGCTTCCATAGCAAAGAAAAACTAGAATATGTTTACACAAAACCAGCTCTGCAAAGTCTCCTTAGAAATGCTCTAATCCAGAAAAAAAGGAGGCAAACCACAAACAAAGATGGCAAATAAGAAGGTCTCCAAACTAAAGCCCACACACAGAAGGCAATTACACAGATAACAACACACACAAAACACAATCGCATGGCAGGGCAAAATTGCAACCTCTCAATTTTAACTCTCAACACAAATGGTCTAAATTCACCAATCAAAAGACAGAGATTAATAGAATGGATCATCAAACAAGACCCAACCATCTGTTGCCTACAAGAAACACATCTAACCAGAAAGGATGCAAAGAAACTGAAAGTGAAGGGATGGAAAAAGATATTTCACGCCAATAGGCAAGAAAAAAAAGCTGGGAATAGCTATCCTAATTTCAGACGAGATAGATTTCAATCTAACTAACATCAAAAGAGACAGGGAAGGCCATTTTATACTGGTGAAAGGAATGATCCATCAAGAAGCAATCACCATCATTAATGTTTATGCACCAAATCTCAATGCGCCTAGTTAGGTAAAGCAATTACTTACAGATTTAAGGGAAGACAACGATACCCACACAATTCTTGTAGGCGATCTCAACACACCTTTAACATCAATGGACCAGTCTACAAAACAAAAACTCAACAAAGAAACAACAGAGCTCACACAAACAATAGAACAACTGGACTTAGTAGATATATATAGAAGTTTTTATCCTAAGGCCACAGACTATACATTCTCAGTGGTGCATGGCACCTTCTCCAGAATCGAAAACATGATAGGACACAAAGTGAATCTAAATAACTTCCAAAACATTAGTATCACACCATGTACCCTCTCAGACCACCATGGGATGAAACTGGAAATCAACAACTCAAAACTCCCCAGGAAATATAGACACTGTTGGAAGTTGAACAATATGCTATTAAACGAACAATGGGTCAGAGAAGAAATTAAAGATGAGATAAAAAAATTTATGGAAATCAACGAAAACTCTGATACAACATTCCAAAACTTGTGGGACACCGCCAAAGCAGTGCTATGAGGTAGATTCATCGCAATTGGAGCCCATGTCAAGGCCCAAGAAAGGCCAAATACAGGAACTAACCACACACCTCCAGGATCTGGAAAAACAGCAGCAGAAGAGTCCCACGCACAATAGGAAACAACAAATCATCAAAACAAGGGAGGAGATAAACCAAATAGAAATTAAAGAAAAAACTATACATAAAATCAACAAATCAAAAAGTTGGTTTTTTGAGAAAATAAACAAAATAGACACTTCACTGGCCCGATTGACCAAAAAAAAAAAAAAAAAAAAAAAAGAAACAAGAGAAATTGAGAATCAACAGCATTAAAGATGAAAAAGGCAACATAACAACAGACACTGAAATCATTAAGAAAATAATTAGAAATTACTACAAAGAACTGTACTCCCACAAATTTGAGGATCACCAAGAAATAGAAAAGTTCTTGGACTCCCACCACTTACCAAAACTCAGTCCGGAGGCAACTGAAGAATTAAATAAACCCATAACCGAGGCAGAGATTGAAGCAGTCATCAAGGATCTCCCAAAGAAAAAAAGCCCAGGCCCAGACGGCTTCACTACAGAATTCTACAAAACATTCCAAACAGAACTAACCCCAATCCTCTACAAGCTCTTCAAAACAATAGAGAAGGAAGAAACCCTTCCAAACTCATTCTATAAAGCCAACATCACCTTAATCCCAAAACCGGACAGAGAACCGTCAGAGAAGGAAAACTACAGACCTATTTCTCTGATGAACATTGATGCTAAAATTCTCAACAAAATCCCAGCCAATAGAATTCCAAAAATCATCAGACAGATCATTCATCCGGATCAAGTAGGATTCATCCCTGGAATGCAGGGATGGTTCAACATTCGGAAATCCATAAATGTTATAAACCACATACAAAAACTGCAAAACAAGAACCGCATAATAGTTTCAATAGATGCAGAAAAAGCTTTCGACAAAATCCAACACCTCTTCATGCTAAATACTCTAGCCAAGGTAGGCATAGATGGGAAAAATCCACAACATAATCAAAGCAATTTATGAAAAACCCAACGCCAGTATCATACTGAATGGAGAAAAGCTAGAACCCTTCAACTGAGATCTGGTACTCTTTGTGGCTAAATGGGCCCAACTGAAAACTATAATGCTAAGGGAAATGAGCGAATCCCAAAAGGTTAGATACCACATGTTTGCCTTGATTTAACCTGTAATTTTTGTTTGGTTGTTGGTTATTTTTTGGACCTGTTATTGATACTGTCTCAACCCAGATGTTTCGAAGAATGGAACTTGCATTATTTTTAACATATTGTTTACCCAATACTTTGTCAATTAATTCCATTATGTTGTATATCGATACTGAGGTTTTGTTGGGGCTTTTAACTGACCGGAACTTTACTCTCCTAGCTCTACCTTCAGACCAGAGAAGGTCTCCCCAAGAGGCCACTGAACTTATATGGACAATAAGACACTGGACTTTTTGCTAGGTATATGCTTGCAATGAAGGAATCTCAACTGAACTTGAACTGTGGTTATGCAGCAAGGTGGAGGAATCCACCATGGGGGGAAGGGGATGGGAGGGGTGGGAGGAATTCCCAGCCCCTATAAAACTGTATCACATAATACAATGTTAATAACAATAAAAAGAAATAGAAGCCCTATAAAAGTGCCTTACTTTTCAGCCTGGGCACGCTCCTTTGTTCGGAAAGAAGGAGGACGTCCACAGGCCTGTGTGAAAATAAACTTGCCTTGTGTGTTTACATCTATTGGTCTCCTGCCTGGTGTCTCCATCGGAGGGCCCCAAGCCCAGAGCAGGACCCAGTCCTCTCGGGTCTTTCATTTGGAGGTTCCACCGAGATTGAAGGACCCTCCGCCGGACCCACGGACAGCACTCCAAAAGGAGGTAAGGTGGATGCGTCCCAGTCCTATCAGGGCTGACCTCTGTCTTTGATTGTTTAATAATTATTGTCCCTCTGTCTATTGAGTCCTCGTCGCGAGGGATCCGTCCTGAGACCAGTGTGGTCGTCTGTTCTGGGAGACCTGAGAAGGAGTTGACGAACTTGGACTTCTCTCTCTCCACCCTGGGGTACGCCCCAGGGATCAGGGCAGCCTTCCTAGTGGGGGCTCAGTATGCATCCGCAGGGTACGTACGTCTGTTGAGGGAGAATCTGGGATTCCCCTCGTCTGATTCTGGCACTTTAACCTGGGATTGGGATCGAAGACGCGCAGTGCTTTGTTTTGCCGGCTGTCTTGTCTCTTGTCTCCCTGTGTGTGGCCTTGTCCATTGTATGTCCTAACCTAATCATGGGTCAGAAGTTGACCACCCACTGAGTTTGACTCTAGGTCACTGGTACGAGGTTCAAGGTCGAGCCCACAATCAATCTGTGGATGTGAAGAAGAAGAAATGGATAACCCTTTGTTCCTCTGAGTGGCCAGCCTGGGCAATTGGCTGGCCCAGAGATAGAACTTTTGATCTTTCCACCATTTTAGGTATTAAAGGAAAAGTCTTTGAAAAAAGTTCTCATGGTCATCTGGACCAGATACCTTACATTCTCACTTGGGAAAGTTTGGCCTCGGACCCCCCTGGATGGGTTTCTCCCTTCCTCAGTGTGAAGAAGAATGTCACCCTCCCCCTCCCGGTAGATCAACCCGGGGAGGTTAGTTCCTCATCCCTTTATCTCACCTTGACTAAAACCCCTCGGAAACCTGTTTTACCCCCTGATGATAATTTGTTCATAGATTTACTGAATGAAGATCCACCTCCTTACCAGGCACCTCCAGCAGCCCCCCCTCAGCTCTGATCCCTGCTGGTGTGGCAGTGGAGCCCACAGCACCACCAGCATCACCACCAAATTCACCAGTGACCAGGAGACTGAGAGACTGAAGAGAAATGACATCTGAAGACACCTCCAGACTTTTTCCCCTGTGCCGCATAGGAGGTGCCGGGGATCGGTTGCAGTATTGGCCTTTCTCAGCTTCTGACCTTTATAATTGGAAACAGAATAATCCTCCTTTCTCTAGAGACCCTGTAGCTCTCACTAATTTGATTGAATCTATTTTACTCACTCATCAATCCACCTGGGATGATTGTCAGCAGCTCTTACAGGTTTTACTGACCTCAGAAGAAAGACAGAGTCTTTTTGGAAGCCCGAAAAAACGTGCCAGGGGACGATGGCAGACCCACCCAACTTCCTCATGAGATCGAGGCCGCGTTCCCCTTGACCCGTCCCAATTGGGACTATACCATTGACCAAGGTAGGGGACACCTACGTCTTTACCGCCAGGTTCTCATTGCGGGCCTCAGAGGCGCGGGATGCCAACCAACCAATTTGGCTCAGGTAAGACAAGCAATGGAGGGTTCAGATGAGATTTCAACCGCATTTCCAGAGAGATTAAAAGAGGCTTATCCCATGTATACTCCTTTTGATCCTGATAGCGAAGAACAGGGAGTAAATGTTGCCATGGCCTTTATTTGGCAGTCAGCCCCAGATATTAGAAATAAACTACAAAGATTAGAAAATGTACAGGGGTACAATTTAGCTGATCTTCTAAAAGAAGCAGAGAAAGTCTTTAACAAAAGAGAGACAGCAGAAGAAAAGGAAGAAAGAATTAGACGAGAAATGGAACAGCAAGACGATAGGCTGCGGAAAGAAGCAGAAGAGAGAGAGAGCGTGATCACAAATGAAACAGAGAATTCAGTAAACTTTTGGCAACTGTAGTAGAGACTAGAGATTCAGGGAGATTAGACAGATGCAGGGAGACTGGGAGGCCCCGGGTCGGACAAAACCTATGTGCATACTGCAAAGAACAAGGACACTGGGTCAGAAATTGCCCCAAGAAGAGAATGAGAGACCAGAGAATAAGACCGAAACCTCCAACAGAGGTATTGACTCTAGATGAAGATTAGGACAGTTGGGGCCAGGAGTTCCCCCCCCCACCCGAGCCCAGGATAACCTTACAAGTGGGGGGCCAACCAGTGACTTTCTTAGTAGATACCGGAGCTCAACATTCTGTACTCACCCATGCCTCCAGCCCACTGAGCGACCGATCGGCGTGGGTGCAAGGAGCCACTGGAGGCAAGCAATATCGGTGGACCACGGAAAGAAAAGTTCACCTAGCTACAGGTAAAGTCTCTCACTCCTTCTTGCATGTCCCAGATTGCCCCTACCCACTCTTAGGCCGAGATCTATTGACAAAATTAAAAGCTCAGATCCATTTTGAGAAAGACGGGGCTACCATATCCGGACCATCTGGAATGCCATTACAAGTCCTCACCCTCTACCTGGAAGATGAATACTGGCTTTATGATAAGCCAATTCAAACCCAAGAGTCTAAAGACTTAAACCAGTGTTTGACAGATTACCCCCTCACCTGGGCAGAGACAGGAGGTACGGGATTGGCAGTACAACAGCCTCCCCTCATCATCAATTTAAAGGCCTCCGCCACCCCTGCCTCTATAAAACAATATCCTATGTCACAAGAGGCATGTTTGGGTATACAACCACACATAAAAAGACTCTTGGATCAAGAGATTCAGGCCCCCTGCCGTTCCCCCTGGAATACCCCTCTGCTGCCAGTAAAGAAACCCAGCACAGAGGACTACTGACCAGTCCAGGACTTGAGAAAAGTCAATAAACGGGTAGAGAATATACATCCCACAGTACCTAACCTATATAATCTTCTGAGTACCTTGTCACCTACCCATTCATAGGTGTACAGTCTTAGACTTAAAAGATACTTTCTTCTGCTTACGACTGAGTCCCCAGAGCCAGCCCTTGTTCGCCTTTGAATGGAAGGATCCTGAGGCAGGCATCTCAGGACAGCTCATGTGGACTCGCCTACCCCAAGGATTCAAGAATAGCCCCACTCTCTTTGATGAAGCGCTCCATCATGACCTCGCAGACTTCAGAGTAAGACACCCTTCACTGATTCTTCTCCAGTATGTAGATGATCTCCTACTGGCCACCACCTTCAAGGAAGAATGTCGTACAGGTACTGGGGCCCTCCTACAGACCCTTGGACAGTTAGGATATAGTGCATCAGCCAAAAAGGCTCAGATATGCCAGAAAAATGTCACCTACTTGGGCTATGAATTAGAAAATGGGCAGCGCTGGTTGATGGCTGCACGCAGGGAAACCATCTCGCGCATCCCGCTGCTCCAGAACTGCCGACAACTGTGGGAGTTCTTGGGCACAGCAGGGTTTTGCTGACTTTGGATTCCGAAATTTGCAGAAATAGCAGCCCCCTTGTACCCATTGACCAAACAAGATTCTTCATTTACTTGGACAAATGAACAGCAGCGGGCTTTTGATAAAATTAAGAAAAAGTTACTTTCATCACCTGCACTCTGCCTACCAGACCTGACTAAGCCTTTTGAACTTTTTCTTGATGAGAATGGGGGCTTTGCCAAGGGGGTGCTCACCCAGAAATTTGGACCCTGGAGACGCCTGGTATCCTATCTCTCCAAGAAACTGGAACCTGTAGCATCTGGATGGCCCCCTTGCCTGTGGATGATCGCGGCTGTAGCAGTATTAGTCAAAGATGTTACAAAATTGACTCTTGGACAGCTGATGGCTGTCCTAACCCCACACACAATCGAGTCACTTATCCACCAACTGCCCGAGAGGTGGCTCTCCAATGCCCACCTGACTCATTATCAGTCACTGTTGTTGGACACCGACCAGATCCAGTTTGGACCCTCAGTTTCCTTAAACCCAGCCACTCTCCTGCCTTTACCCGAGGAACAAACTTCCGAGCCCCACAATTGTTGGCAAATCTTAGCCGAAGTTTATAGCACTCGGCCAGATCTAAAAGACCAACCTCTCCGAGAAGCAGATTTCACTTGGTACACTGATGGCAGAAATTACATACTGAACAGGGAACGGAAGGCAGGAGCTGCCGTGACTGACGAGTCACAGGTAATATGGGTTAGTGCCTTACCAAAAGGCACATCAGCACAGTGGGCAGAACTCGTGGCGTTAATTCAAGCACTTCGACTGGCAGAAGGTAAGAAATTAAATATATATACTGACAGTAGATATGCCTTTGCTACAGCCCACATACATGGGGAAATTTACAGGTGGCAAGGATTTTTAACCTCGGAAGGTAAAGAGATTAAAAATAAAGTTGAAATTATAGACTTATTAAAAGCTATACATCTCCCAAAGGCCCTGAGCATTATCCATTGCCCTGGTCATCAAAAAGGCAATAGCCCTGAGGCCAGAGGAAACTGCCTAGCCGACGAGGCTTCCCAACAGGCGGCACTAGGACCACAGGTACTGATAGCCACCAAGGCCCCGGGAACCACAGACTCTGAACCCCCTTGGGACTATACTGATAAAGACCTGGACCTCATCCAGAAACTGGGAGCAAATTATGACCAGGACCGTGACTTATGGCTATATCAGGGAAAGATCATTGTGCCCAACAAAATTGTTAAACAACTAATTAAGCAAATCCACCAGTTGACCCATTTAGGAGTAAAGAAAATGAGGTCCATCTTAGAAAAAGAAGAATTAAATAAATATATCCCACATAGAGAATCTCTTTTACAACAAGTAGTGGATACCTGTAAAGCTTGTGCCCTAATTAATCCTAACAAAGCCAAACTAAATCCAGGAATAAGACTGAGAGGGCACCGACCTGGGGAACACTGGGAAATAGATTTCACTGAGATAAAACCTGGAATGCATGGCTATCAATATCTTTAATACTCGTAGACACCTTTTCAGGATGGCCAGAAGCTTTCCCAACGAAACATGAGACGGCAAAAACTGTAGTAAAGAAACTTGGAAGAAATTTTCCCTCAGTATGGAATGCCTCAGGTATTAGGGATTTTTAGTGCGGTGGGGGTCGTCAGGAGCATGTTGTAGGGTCCTTTCCAGCGGGGTTCGAGGTTCGCAGACTGGTGTCCACGAACCCAGGCAGAGTCGCTGATTTTAAAGAGATGAGGGGCCACTAGCGTGGCTTGGCTTTCCTGGTAGGCGGCTGCTAATGGCTTCCAGACTTCTTGATGGATAAGCTGTAAAACCCGCAGGTGCACCTGCAATGAAGGTATCTTGCCCTGGGTTGAGATAAAATCATTGCAAAAATTTACAAGAGGAGTTATAAATTATTCCTCTGAAACTGTGTTTAATATCCTTTCTAAACAATATAGAATAAAAAGATAACCTGTGTCTTTAACTTTAGCTGTGCTGCTAGGAGCTGGAGGCATAGCCACAGGAATAGGAACAGGGGCCGTAGCCCTAACTCACACAGATCAATATCAGCAGCTTTATAAGGCAATGAACGAAGATCTACAAGCATTAGAAAAATCAGTTAGAACCCTAAAAGAATCTCTCACGTCTTTATCTGAAGTAGTATTACAGAATAGAAGAGGCCTAGATTTATTATTCCTTAAAGAAGGAGGATTATGTGCAGCATTAAAGGAAAAATGTTTTTATGCTGATCAGACAGGAGTAGTCATGGAGACATTAGACAAAGTAAAAGAAAGACTAGATAAAAGAAAGAAGGAACTTGTAGCCCAACAGGGTTGGTTTGAAGGAATATTCAACCACTCTCCCTGGCTCACTACTCTTGTCTCTTCTCTCCTAGGACCTATAATTATTTTATTCCTGTTATAAACTTTTGGCCCTTGCATCATTAATCGATTAGTGCAGTTTGTGCGAGAAAGAATGTCTATAATCCAAACTTTTGTATTAACCCATCAGTACCAGGCTGTAAGACAAGATCTTCAGTGAGAATGAGTCAAAGATTTTCCTCATGATAAAAGAAAAGGGGGGAATGAAAGACCCCCACCGGGTTTTAGAACTTAGACAATAACAGGATGCTTGCGGGCTAGCAACGCTGAACAAACAGAACAGGTGTTAAGAACTAAGGATGTCAAGTACTTTTCGAAATACTTAGAAAAGAGAAGTTCACAAGAGAGGTTTCTATTTCTCAGAAAGTGTTGGAAGCAATATGTTTAAAGCAATACCTAATTTTTTTAAGATAAGCCTTGCTTAATTTGACTGCACCAATAAAAACCCTGTAACTGTGCATCTGCTTCTGTAACCTGATTCCTGCTTTTGAAACCCTATAAAAGTGCCTTACTTTTCGGCCTGGGCACGCTCCTTTGTTCGGAAAGAAGGAGGACGTCCACAGGCCTGTGTGAAAATAAACTTGCCTCGTGTGTTTACATCTATTGGTCTCCTGCCTGGTGTCTCCATCGGAGGTCCCCAAGCCCAGAGCAGGACTCAGTCCCCTTGGGTCTTTCAGAAGCTCCTGGTTCTTGACTTTAGGTCAGCTCAACTCCAGCCATTGCAGACAATTGGAAAGCAAGACAGTGGACAGAAGATGTTTTTCTCTGTCTCTCTCTTTTTAAATCTGACTTTCCAGTGAAAAGTAAAATAATCTTTTGAAACAGAGATGTGTTTAAGTATAATAAGTGGTTAATGTGTCCATTTGTCCTGATTTAATTTTCTGTGTCTATTGAAAACTGCAGGGTATTTTCATATCTACTGATCAATATTTTAAATTGTTTATTAATTAATTAAGGAGTCAGTGTGGCTCAAGAACCTCTATCTGGTGAGCATGCCCTCCTGGCAACATGTAAATGGTGAGGAGTGGGAGGAGGAAGATAATGATGATGTAGTAGTTCCTGCTGTGATGAGGGCCACCCAGCCAATGCTGCTGTCACTGCAGGGCCATCAAGGTTTAAGGGTCCTTAGGTTTCCAGCTAGAACTACCAACACTGCAGGGCTGTCAGCGTCTGAGGGTTTCTGGGTCTCCAAGTAGCTTAGTTATCTTTTGCCTTTTGTTTCCAGCTGGGAATTTGGGTCCCAATGAATGCCATTAAAACTAACTGCCTGGTCCTGGCCTAGTGGCTAATGTCCTTGCCTTGAATAGGCTGTGATCCAATATGGGCACTGGTTTTTACCCCGGCAGCTCCACTTCCCATCCAGCTCCCTGCTTGAGGGCTGGGAAAGCAGTCAAGTGTGGTCCAAAGCCTTGGGACCCTGAACCCCCGAGGGAGACTGGGAAGAGGACCTGATCACCGGGCTTTGGATTGGCGCATAGCACCAGCCATTGCAGCTGCTTGGGGAATGAATCACTGAATGGAAGATTGTCCCCTCTGTCTCTCCTCTTCTCTGTATATCTGAGTTTACAGTAGAAATAAATACATCTTTGAAAACAAAAACATAATTGCGCCTCTTGTCAGCACATGATGCTAAAGTAAGCAATTCTCTTTATTTGAAGAAGATTCACACCAAAAGAATCATGGGTATTTTTTGCATTTTAATTAATTAATTTATTTCTTTACTCGTAACAAGAATCATGTTTGGGTGTATTAACTCCACTTGTGACTTTGAGACTCGTGGCTTTCTGGTTGCCTTGCTGTTTTGTGTGACTCCAGACTACAGAATTTAGGGAAGGTTTAGTGGACAGTATGAGTCTTAATTGCTCACAGCTTCACAGTCCAGACTAACTGCCCCACCTCTTTGACTACTAGAGTCTCATCCGACAGAATATTGTTTGTTTTCAGTATAGCCTGTTGTTTTCATCTTCACTGCCTGAAGGATCTCTGGCCTTAGTTAATGCTATGCATAATATTAGGATAGAGATTTAACTTTCACATTTTTGGCAGTTTATTTTTGGTGAAAGGTGCACTGGAAGAACAGATCAGAGTGTAAGAGAAACATTCTCTATGTTCACTCCTTCAGTTATAGCCCAGAATCTTTTTGCTGAAAGTGATTAGGCCATATCTCTAGTCCTTGTCATCTCCTTGATTTCTATTCCAATTGCCTTTGCATCCTGCATCTTTTATTTTTTTCTTTTTGCACATGTTTGATTGAGAGGCACAGTTACAGAGCAGGTGAGATACTGAAAGAGAGTGAGGTCTTCCATCCAGTGTTCTATTATGAAAACTGTTGCATCAGCTGTGGCTGAGCCAGGCAGGAAAGTCAAGAGACAAAAATTTATTCTGGGTCTCCCATGCAGGTACAGGGGTCCAAGTGCTTTCCCAGGTGCTGTTAAAAAAAAAAAAAAAGGAGGCGAATAGGAAGAAGAACAGCAAGGTTTTGAACTGGTGTTTGTGTGACACAGGCACTGTAAGTGGAAATGTGCTTCCATTTTTCACTGTGCTGAAATTGTATCTCCAATTTTATATTCTCTGTCAGCTTTTATTCTACCAAGAGCCATTTGGACACTTATATCATTAAAAAGCCATAGAGGATAATGAACTTAAGAATTACCCTGGTAATAGTGTGCTAGTGGCTAAATTCTCACCTTGCATTCATGGGGATTCCATAGGGCAATCAGTTCATACTTCTGATGTCCACTTCCCTTTCAACTTCATGCTTGGGGCCTGGGAAACCTGTCCCCCAAGTCTTAGGGCCCTCCATCCACATGGGATTCTTGGAAGAAACTCCTGTCTTCGGATTTGCTCAGATCTGGTTGTTTTGGCTATTTGGAGAGTGGATCTGTGGATGGACAAATGCCTTTTCTCACTGTATCTCCTTCTCTCTCTATATCTCCTTTTCCAGTAAATAATATTAATCCTACAATTAATAATGCAGCATTTTAACAGAATCTGCTGGTAAATTATTGCATTTCAAGTTCTTCCTGCTGTTGCTTTAGGAGGGTCAGACCAAAAGGTTTCACAGGCTCATACAACATCTGGACCCCACGCCTCTTCTAAGCCAAATTCATAATCAATTTAGCTAAAATGACAGAGAAGACAAACTCAAGACATGCTACGTAGCAGTGGACATCAAAACAGTCTGATACTGGTACAAAAACTGAGAAGATCAATGGATCAAAACAGAAATATCAGAAGAGAGCCCACACATGTATAGCCAACTAATCTTTGACTAAAAAACTGGAAACAGGGCACGGCGCGGTGGCGCAAGTGGTTAAGGTCCTCGCCTAGCACGCCCGGGATCTCATATGGGAGCCGGTTCTAATCCCGGCAGCCCCGCTTCCCTTCCAGCTCCCTGCCTGTGGCCTGGGAAAGCAGTCGAGGACGGCCCAAAGCTTTGGGACCCTGCACCCATGTGGGAGACCCGGAAGAGGCTCCTGGCTTCGGATCGGCATAGTATTGGCCCGTTGCGCTCACTTGGGGAGTGAATCATCGGACGGAAGATCTTCCTGTCTGTCTCTCCTCTCTGTATATCTGCCTTTCCAATCAAAAAATAATAAAAATAAATCTAAAAAAAAAAAAAAAAAAAACTGGAAACACCCCAGAGGAAAATCTTGGCTTACTCAAGAAATGCTGTTGGGACCATTGGATAACAGCTTTCAGAATTAAGAAGCAAGATCTGCTCCTGTCACAGTACACAAAAATCAGCTCTAAATGGTTCAAGGACCTAAATCTACATCCATAAACAATGAAAGTATTAAAGGAAAGCATCGGAAGCACTCTCCAATAAATAGGAATTTATAGACTTAGAAAAGACACTGAAAGCACAAGTGAGACCATCAATTTTAAAAGCTTTCGTACAGCAAAGAAAACAATTAACACCGTGAAGAAGCAGTCAAGAGAATGAGAGAAAAATGTGTGCACTCTACACAAGTCATAAGGACTAATATCCAGGATTTACAAAGAGCTTCAGAAACCCAGAAACAGTGAAAAAGAACCCTGTAAAAATGGGCAATAGAAATGAGCAGACATTTTTCAAAAGACCAAATTCAAATGGATAACAGACATATGAAAAGATGCTCAGGCTCCTTTGCCTTCAGAGAGATACAAATGAAACCACATTGGGGTACCATCTAATTCCAGTGTGACTGGTCTACATTTGAAACTCAACTAACAATACCTGCTTGTATGAATGTGGGGAGAAAGGTACCTTTGTTCTAACTCATATGTTATTTCAAGGCTTTTCATTTGTGG